ACAGAATATGCATCAGTAACATTAAATCCCCGTAAAAGTAAAAAAGTTAATGTAAATGTTCAAATGGAGTTTAGTAAATGTGTGAGGGGGAAAAAAAAAGTCACACACAAATGTATTTTTTACACATTTCGTTGACGGCAAGTCCGAGCATTTGCCGGCATTTCAATTCCATCATCCAGCTATAATATCAGCTGTTACAGGACACAGTTTCATAAGCCTCGATTCAATTTAACACAGTAATCACGAGTACCCACAGTCCTAACTTCGTCTTGACTAGTCTTTGCTGGTCTTTGCCGTTTCAGTGTGGGGAGCTGTTGTGGGAGAAGCGGCAATACGAGAAGGGCCACTGGGCTTGTGTAACAATGCACAAGGAGACGTACGAACAGAGCATCTGCTATGGTTTCATGAAGCTAATGAGATATATCTGCCAGCAGAACTCCTTGGGTAAGTACAGCAGCAAGCAACCATTAAAAAAAAATACAAAAGGTTCTAACCTTTTGAAATTCAGTCTTCATTTTCATTGGTTGATGATAACCCCACGCCAGCCTGACCATTTCCCCTACACTTCTAGGTGACTACCTGGGCATGACGTTGCCCATCGTCACAGTGGTGCGCACAGACGAGAACCATTCTGTGATCTCCCACAACGTCACTGTGGCGTATTGCCTTCCCGTTGAGCATCAGGCCCAGCCCCCGCAACCTCACGACAATGAGATCGTCATAGAGATCTGGCCCGCCACTACTGTATACACAAGGTCCGAAGAGAACGAAATACAAAATTACACTTTTGCTATTCCTAAATCAGCTCCCTCTTCTTGTTGGCACTGGTGGCAAACAACGATTGATGATGTAATGAAATGTGATGCCTCGTGCTCATGCGCCACTCCCTCCTTCTTTCAGGTCCTTTACTGGTCCCACCAATGAAGTGACCATCGTTAATCAGATCAACGCCCTGGCCGAGCAGCTGGACTCCCCCGGTCTGAGCGCCAATGACTCGTTCATTGTGGCCGGCTACACCAACCCCGCTCACAACAACCGTCAGAATGAGATCTGGTTCCTGGAGCGGACCTGACCGACGACAAGATAGAGCGCCATCTTATCTGTGACCCTTGAGCCTCATAAAGACTCCCATAACACTGCCTCAGCCTCAGGTGCAACTCGATCTTTACTCACCTCCTCTACCTGAAAAGACCACCAGCC